CTATCATTTTTATTTTCACATCGGTAAGCATGTCTGCCGTCCCCGGAGGACCACTCTTCATTCTTCATTCAAAACTACAAATTGATTTCCATCCAGCCCCTTCAGGGAAGCGCTACCTCCCAGCGAGAGAGGGAGTTGACAAAAAGGACTTCTGGGAGTGGGATGGTTTAAGTGTCGACTAATCGATTAATGAACGTACTCTAAGAATAAACAAATGAATAAATAAATATATACTTATATAATATACCTTAGTTAAAGAATCAAAGAGGACACATCGATTCTCTGTTACGCTGACGAGCGCTTCGGCGCGAAACTCAGAGTAACAGAGAATCGATGCGTCCTCTTTGATTCTTTAACTAAAGTATAATTAGCTCTGCTAACACAGCATTGAGCACTTTATGCCAAGGCAGACTCTACCCTCACACTATAGGCAACGTAGGATCCAGGACAGTGCTCCACAATAAAAGAGCGATTACAGCAAATGGACTACTCAAGTTATGCACATATGGATTTTAATACAGCCTGTTTCGTAGACCAACAAAAGTTGATCCACTCATCAGTCAAACTCCATACACACCAATTTTGACTGATGAGTGGATCAACTTTTGTTGGTCTACGAAACAGGCTGTATTAAAATCCATATGTGCATAACTTGAGTAGTCCATTTGCTGTAATCGCTCTTTTATTGTGGAGCACTGTCCTGGATCCTACGTTGCCTATAGTGTGAGGGTAGAGTCTGCCTTGGCATAAAGTGCTCAATGCTGTGTTAGCAGAGCTAATTATACTTTAGTTAAAGAATCAAAGAGGACGCATCGATTCTCTGTTACTCTGAGTTTCGCGCCGAAGCGCTCGTCAGCGTAACAGAGAATCGATGTGTCCTCTTTGATTCTTTAACTAAGGTATATTATATAAGTATATATTTATTTATTCATTTGTTTATTCTTAGAGTACGTTCATTAATCGATTAGTCGACACTTAAACCATCCCACTCCCAGAAGTCCTTTTTGTCAACTCCCTCTCTCGCTGGGAGGTAGCGCTTCCCTGAAGGGGCTGGATGGAAATCAATTTGTAGTTTTGAATGAAGAATGAAGAGTGGTCCTCCGGGGACGGCAGACATGCTTACCGATGTGAAAATAAAAATGATAGCAGCTACTGAGTACAATTATTCTGAACTTGCAGGAATGAGACAAAAAATCTTCCTCTCAGCAATCCGCTGTGATCCTATTGATATTAAGGCATCTCTGTTTTTTTGTGTTTCTGTTATTTATTTTTCTACATTAATATGTTGACATTTCGTCAGTTCACTCCATTTTGAGTAAACTTTTTGAAATCAAGAAACTATCTGAAATGTTGTCAAAGCACTGAAAATGGCACCCTTTTTCAAACAAAGTCAGATACAGCTCACTTTGATTAAAAAAAAAAAACAAGTTTGAAAGAACTACTGCCATGCATTTATAACTGATAATAAGGTTGATGCTCCGAATGAGATGCCACAACCTACATGTAGAGATCACATTTCGAGAGGTGATTGTGTTAGTGAATTACTTAGGTTGTATCGCTTTTTGGTTGTATCGCCTTTTTATTGTTTTTGTATTGCTTGCTGTGTAAACAGCAACTCGGCAAGACTATGTTGTTCTAGAATGCACTCTGAATTTTTGTTTAATCTGCAGAGCAGATGGGCACAGTTCGGTGCAGTGATGCATTTAATTTTATTTCCAAGACTATCAATTTTGCTGAACTTCTAGAAAATGTTGCTATTTCGTTGACGTGGACGTGGAATTTGGTGTGTCAATTATTGTAAAGGAAGTATATTAAGCCAAAAAAAATAGAAGAGGAAGCAACTTGGGGGTAAAATAAAAGAGCCACTTCAGTAAAAAAAAAAAAAACGCACGTTACAGTTTACTGGTACATTTTGAAACATTTCAGTCTTTGTTTGTCTAGGTTTTGATCGCCGTTTTATCCATCCAAAATACATGTTAACCTCCACCATCTTTTGTAATACTTGGACCCTCTTAGTGTCTGTACATCAAGTAAAAATGACGTTTTTGGGATTACCTTATTTTAAAAGTTGAAAGTTACTTTAAGCGCAGTGGATGTAGATCAGACAACGGTAACAAAGCCGCTTAAATCAAAAACGAACAAACTTACGGTCTTGATGTCTGAGTTGTCCTTTCTGCTCCTTCCATATGAATCCCGTGGCAATCTGACAAAACGCGTAGAATATGAGATAGTGAACGAACCGGGTTGCCATTCTTCCAGGTGTAACTGAGAAAGCTGTTTGGTTTTTTAACTGAAGGGTTCAGTTGTCACGCTTCTTTCTATCTGCACCCTGCACCAGAAATTAATCAGAAGGTAGCCTTGCTTGAGGTAGTGTCAGTTGAGCGAGTAGTATGCCTGTCAATCAAAGCGAACCAAGTGACCCGTAAAACCATCAACTGTCTCTTAAAACGTGACGAAAGTATTTTCTAAATGTCAAAAGGCTTAACAAAAGGACAAACATTACAATAGAGTGCCACATCTTGTCGCATTTTTGAAGTGCTTTTCAGACGCCTTCCACTTGCTCTTGGTCTTGTTTGCTTTCGTTTATTTTCATGCTTTTTCAGAACTCGGTCGTTCTTCTTAGGAATCCTTATTAGATAAACGACCATCAACGATATCAAAGTTTGCAACATAGGAAATAAAACTTATCACAGTATTCAAAGCTTATTAAAACTTAGAAGGTGCAACGAGGGTAAAACGAAACTTTGTTTGCGAAAGAGTGAGAGGGAGGCTCTGAGAGCACACACTATTTTGTTCCCAAATTTTTAAACCTATCGACCAGAAATAGCGAGGAAGAGAGCTTACCTTTCCTAGTGAAGCGTTAACGATTTTGCTGTCTGTTAGTGAAAAAATGGAAGACGAGAGAAACGTTACGGGTTGGACTTTCCAGTAGTTATAAATTGTCAAAGAAAATGTTCAAGTCCTTTCTGTGTTCTAAGAACTAATTGATTAAGGGTTCAATGCATTTCAATTTAGTAGAAATTATTAGCATATCGTTGAGTTTTGTGAACTTTCTGTTTTTCTCACCGCACCAACTGGTTCTTGTTTAAAGATAAGATCTTGACGAAATCGCTTAAATGAAATGAAATGATGTGACATTTTATTTCCAGAATATTCTGCACTTATTCTTTATGCTTATAATTTCTCGAAACCTTAAAAAAACAACATTGAACTAATCAGTGCTTATCAGTATTAATCAAATGTAAATCCACGACCATTTTTATGCAAATCTGTGTAAAGAATTTTTCTCAACATCAAATTCCAGCGTAGAAGGTACGAGAACAGGGCAAGGAACAGATTAAACGTCTAACCTTGTCAAAGTGATTTATGCAATCCATGTCTGTAAAGATAATTACCTTTGGATTTTGGCCTTAAGCTTTACAGTTTAGAAGTGTTATTCTTACAGTTTTCGGTCCTTGTACAAATAATTTGTTTGTTCAGTAGAACTTTGCGACTTATAACTATCAAAGGTCAGCATTGTGTTCACCCAGATTGAAATTGAAGGCCCTTGTCAATTTATTGTTGCGAATTCCTCAACTCAGTTGGAAAGTGTAATTGTCTAAATGATGATTACAAAACATCGCCAACTGATGTAATTTTCGACTTAAAGCAATTTGCATTGCTCATCTTGTACAGGCCGAGCCATCATCGGTTTTTATTTTGCCGGCCGAGGCCTGTGGCGTAATCTTCATTCTTTACTTTGAGTAGGACAATTAGAAAACTGTTCAGAAGCCGATGTGTTTAGTTATTTTCTTTAGGGTAGATAGATATTTGAATATTTCTTTGCCTATTTTCTTCGTCGATTATTGTGTTATCACTTTTTATAAGTCGTTGTTGTGGCGCTGCATATAGTCTGAAAAGAGAGACCTGCTGTGATGCGGAATCGATTACTAACAGCATTACTCCCTACAGCTTTCATTCTGACTTTTGTCTGCTGAATGACCCTATGAAAGAGAAATTTCACAATAAACATAGGCAGAAAGAAGCTAACGGTACGGCTTAATTCTGCTGGTATAGAAAGGTTGCGTATATTTTTCCTTTGACTTGAAGATGCCTTGTCAACTGTTTTGACTTTGACTTCCTCTACTTCATTGGTTTATTGTAATCTCTGTTAAGTTAGACGATTCTTGAATTGCAGAGAAGTTTTCTTGTTAAGTTTGTGGTTCAAGTTGTAAAACAAGAATTTTACGCTAAGACAAAGCCAACCAGCTTTCTATCACTAGAGAATTGTTAAGTTCTCGGTAATTTTGCCACTTAAGACGTTTGACTGTGCTCCTTATTAATATACGCCTACTTTTAATTATCTCACAAAATTTACACAAGTGACACATTCGAGAACAAAACAAGACTTCATTCTAGAAATATTTAGATGAGAGAGACGTTTGTTTATGATGTGTCCCTCCCATTTGTTCAATTGAAAGACGCCTAATTTGTTATTTGAAAAACCGTCAGGCAGACCTATTTTGTTTGCATTTCAAACAAAGTAATGTCGATTAATCAAGTGTGGAGAGAGTGTTGTTTTGTTTCTTAAATTTAACCCTTTCACTCCCCCAAGATCTCATTAGTAATTCTTTTCACTGTCTGCCATACAATTCTTATGATGTTAGTTTGGAGAATTTGGTATTGGATCAACTGATGATCCCCTAAAATATGTTTTTCTTTATTCTCATCAATTGTCTGCTTGATATTGTATTAAAGGTGTAAGGAGAAATTCTGTCTCGGTCACTCATCGGTGTGAAAGGGTTAAGCGCCAGCCTTACTTTTTCTGCATGCCCTGGCAAACTTCTAAATTTGATTAATTCGATCACCTACTTTGCTTCTGAAATGTGACTTTTTTTAATTTGTCACATTTTTTGTCTTTCAGAGTCAACAGCTTCTGCGTAGAATACTTGAAGCAGCAGTTTCAGATGTCAGCAGTCGCTCGACTTCTCCTCCTGCCTCCACTCTTGACGAGTTGGATCATGAGCCTCAATTTGAAAATGAGGCGCCGGCTAAGCAGGATGATGATGAAGTGTCAATCGCAACCGAAGCTTCTAGCAGTACATTGGGTTCTACTCCACCTAAAATTGAACCAAAGTAAGTGATAACGTGCAAGGCATACCTCATTCCAAGGCAAGAAATATTTAACATGCATGCGCTTTACAAAGTGCAAAAATCTAATTGGCTAAACAATGTGTGTTCTTGACCTTTATGGCACGATATATGTGCGTCAGTCGCGGTTTTCCACACTCCCAACCTAAAAGGGTAATTTTACTTTCTTGGAAAACTTATTTCGATTTATTGTTATCACGCTTTTTAAAAAGAGGTTGTAAATCGTCGTTTTATCAATGCCAAACAATCCAATGGTTGAATTCAAAAAGGGTGAGGGACTAGGGTTAGTAGGAACCGAGTCTTTATTTTTCATATTCCGCTTATTCTGCTGCCATTTTATCATCGGCAAAGAATGTTAAAGCAATTTTTTCAAAGCCTGACATAATTCTTTATGATTGTTTTTTTTTTCGTTGGGCCCGCGATTACACTATGTTCAATGGCACCTATTTTGCGTCCACTTCTCTCGCTGGATATCTGGAAAAAAATAGATCATTAACGTCATAACAAACGTTTTTTTTTAGTAAATCCAAGGAAGAGAATCGCCAACCAACACCAGACCCGACGGTCTCTTACGAAGATGATTTTGAAGATGAAGTTCCCCTAACTGAAACCCCTGCGTACCTTAAAATGATGAGCAGTGCCCACTCTGAGCCTGACGATGATATAAGTGATCCTCTGGCCAAGACTAACCCGCAAAAACAAGAAAGCGAGGCTGACGAAGACGTTGAGAGGGAACTGGCACGGAGTATATCCCCGCCTATGACGTCACCTAGTCAGAAATCACACAATCATTCAAAGAGTGGGAGGCAGAAACCAAAACTTTCTTTGTTTGAAACTGATGTAAATAAAAAAACTGACAAAGACTTGAGTGATAGCTGGGGAGGAACATCTCTGAAGTCTGCTCCATCCAACATTTCCGATTCCGACTCAGTAGCATCGCCTCCGTTATCACCGGATGATGTAATTGGATACACACCAACTGCTTTGGAAAACCAGCAAAAGAATGATAAAGTTGACAAGGAAAACGACAAGAGCGAGCCTAAGTCCGTTACTGACTCCAAAGCCAAACGAAAAACAGGTATTTCATTTGAATGATCCTCACTAGCTTACTTGATAACTTGTAATGTTCATCTGGAGAAGTTTGTCTTACAATAGGCAAAACAAACGGTTTTTATTCCACGACTTAAGAACAGACGAACACATTTTATCAATTTTTGAATGATAGGCAAACATGACGAGAAACATGTTATTTTTCTCCGTGAGTCCCGGGTGTATGAATCCCATGAAAGGAAATTTCAGGTGGGGATTCTTCATAAAATATCGTAACCCAAGAAACTGAACGATGAGACTGAACGACGGACGCGGTAGTAATTTTAAGCTGTTACTGACGTTTCGTTGTTTGCCACTACCATTAGGAATATTTCTTGTATTTTTTCCTAAATAGATTTCTGGAATGCCTCAGACACGGAGTCCGAAGTGGATTTACAGCTGAGTACCGGGGGAATGGACCAGGAGGATGACGATGATGATTTTGATTTCTACGGTTAAGACACGAATAACAAAGATTCGCGCATTTGGTGGTTCATGGGTGTCCAATGCAAGGGGAGAAAGTGACTTGTCGAAAAGAAAGCGCGGCAAACCGTCTGGAATTGATGTATCTGTGACTAATTAAAAGGAATTTATCGTGGCATTTCATACTTAAAAATTCGATGCAGGCGGCGTTAACTTGCATCATTTTCTTACCTTTAAATCATTTTAATAGCATGGTAAAGTTTCATTTCACTTGAAATCTGACGTTACTTTTATTTGTGCATCAGTGTTACCATAAAGTGAATTACGTTTGGAAATAAATCTGCACGAAGCTCTTTGTATGCCTTGTTTGTACATAAATATAGCACGAGACAGCTGATTTCTCAACTGCTAATTTTCGTTCGATCATCTTATTTATTAACATTTCCTTCTTCATAATATTTACCCTTTTTCTGAGAAAATAGCAAAAACTAATTACGATCATATCTGTGTGTAAAGTGACTAAATTACCTCGATCATCGGGGTCATTAAATATTTGAATTTTCAAGAAATATTTACTTCAAACTAGAATTCTGTTACGGGCAGAATTGCATGTTACTGTAGGTGAGTTAATAGAAAGAAATGATCTAAATAAACTTTAAAATTTTTGTTATTGCGATTGATTCCACGTACAGACGTCTTCGGGATCTTTTTGTTAGAAGTGACTTGTTTGGAAGTTATTCTTTTACATCATTAGCTTGTAAGGAATAATATACAGAATTGTACCAAGCTGGATTTGTTAGTGGTACAGCCAAGATGAGAAACATCACCAGTCCGGCCACAAATGACACGCTTATGACTGCAACAGACAAAACAAAGTTTCAGGATCAATCAGGAAAATCTTTCTGCCAAACTACATCACATGCATAAAGGGAACGAGCATGTTTAGATTAACCAAAAACTTTTTCTTCACACTGCAGTCTCTTGGTAACTTCAGAAGGATTGAAAACCTGTCGACTCTCCGAGTTTATCACCAATCCGGTGAATTTGTTGTCGACCACACGGCAACAATTTGGGTTTTGTGTAAGACAAAAAAAAAGTATCCTAATTATGTGCTTTAAAAGCTTGTTTCAAGAACTGTTTTCCTTTTTAGTCACAACCAGTTAAAGACTATATTAATACACTTTCCGAACGAGTCATATCTAATACTAATTAAAAGTATCCACAACGAAAGAACAACACATCCCAAGAAACACGTGAAAACTCAAAGCAAAAACAAACAAATGTCCATAGCGCACGAAAACACTAGTTACCAAGTCGTGGTTGATTTTAGTTTTGCATCGGATTGATTAAGAGGATCGGACAACTATTATAGTCCGATCAGAATTAAGTAAGCAAAACCAAAAGGAATCCTTGATATCTTATTACACTCAATTTAAAGGTACTCTGACGATCTCATTGAGATTTAATCTTCAGTGTGTTTTGGAAACTGACTCACTTCGTGGATACTTGGAGCTTGGTACTTGATCAAGAGGTGGAAATCCCATGAAATTACAAAAACTATGGCACAGAACTGGACCAATTAGATGACCTTCAAGGGAGTGAGAATACCAAACAAAATTCATTGTGATTACTGCCATGAGGACAAAAAGATCAGTGGGATGACTGACTGACTGACTGACTGGCTGATATGCTGAGTGAGTAAACAACCATCAGGTGTATCTGTAACAGCTGACCAACTGAACAACTGTGTGACTTCCAGATTAGCTGACTGACCACTAACTGTCTGACTTAAGATTGAATGACCGGCTAGGTGAATGGCTGGCTAACTATCCTGCCAATTCTACAATTCCTCCATTTGCTCTGACAGAGGGCTAATGCTCAAAACATAAGCTTTTTAAATCTTTACGGTGGCCACTTTACATTATCATTAACCAAATTACCTTGTTACCCCAACTGATGCAGCACCACAATTTCTTTAGAAACTCACCCCCTTTGCCCTGCCAATTAGCTGGGTATATGATTGAGTAACAGCTCCATTGACCCAGCTCAATGATTAATCAAGTGAATATTCTAATGGGTAACTTCAGGTGTCACTGACTTTATAACTCACCAGTTCTTAAAAACAAGAAAGCTGTATAGCCTCCAAAGACCGTTGTGTAACCAAACTGAAAAACTGAAAGACAAAAAGCAGCAATATACTAGAGCAAAATGAACAGATTACGTGTTTTTGATAGCAATGAACAGAATTGATTTTGCATAAAATTCCTCAAGGTTTACATCATCATCAATGCAGTCTGTAATTCCCTATGCCTCAGGAAACCACTCTTGTAATGATTTTGTCATCGTTGGGTTTTCTACAACACACCTAGGCAAAATTTTATCACCAAACAACTCGTTTATTGCTCTTTTTTGCAGAAATTTTAAACATTGCCTCTACTACAATGAATTAATAACGATAATAAGACTGAGTAAAGTCTAAATTCATTCTAATTTATTAGCTTCCTAGCTTTGCTAAGCCCCTATGGTTATTCCAGGCTGCTAATACTCCAATTTTATTTCTAATAATTTCTTTCAATTTTGTAACTTTTTTGCTTAGAGCAAGTATGAATGCGAGTACAAATAAAGATTATCCATTATCCATTATCCATATCCATTGTGTAATCATACAAGGGGTTGATGGTCCAATTTGTTAATCATAGGTATAATTACCAACAGAGTTGGATGACACAAAGTCCTGTTACCAATTTATCAAAACTAAAACTACAACAAAATTTGAAAAAAAAAACGACATGGGTTATACTTTTTCATAGAAAAACAATAGTTAACTCAGTGAAATGAGCCCCAAAAGTACACACACTTGATGCATACAGTCCATTTACTCCAGCATGAGGTGTCAACTGTGTTTCGTTGAGAAAAGTATTTAATTAGATATGAGTCATAATTGATTGACAATTTAATTTCCCTTTTCATTAAGTTCATGATACACTTGGGATTAGTAACTTCGTAAGATCGCGCAACGTGTTCAAAGTTCATTTTAGAAGGAATCGTTCCGTGCTAAATTGTTCTCTCGCTGACCAGTGTTTCATATGATTTTGCCAACCAGATCCCCAATTGAACTGCCACCCCATGTTTACGAGTGATTAGGAATAATCTGCTGGATATCGTTACAGATTAAGTAAGCGGTCAACAATATGCGACTAGTCACTGTAGTTCGTTTATGTTGTGGTTTGCCCTATCTAATATTATGCAATGTTTTCCTTTATAGATCGGAAAAAAAAACAGAAATCATTCTCCCCGGATCAAACTGTCTTATTACACTGTCCAGTTACAAGCATGACGAGCACACTTTCCTATTAGCACTCAAATTGGGCTGGTGATAACCAATCCTGTTTGAGAATCTTGTTATAGTTTTGATCAATTAATCAATTAATTAATCAGTTGATCTCTTACTTGCAGTTGACCATACATCTTTAGGGTTCTCTCCTTGTTGCAATCTCTCAATTACATGGTGAATATGAGCTGATGACAACATAAATTATATTAATTTTATTACATAATTGTTTAAGACAAAAAATTCTATTTTCTGAACACAAATATGGAAGCTGAAGAAAACACAATGCAGAAAAAATGTAAGTAAATAGCTCCTAATATGGTTAATAATGTTATTGGCTGAAAGTTCACTCTTGAGCCTCATTTTTTCCTTTTTTTTGCCTCAAATCTCTGCTACTTTGTTGTGTTCATTAGATTTCTGATTTATCTCTGTTTTGGAAGAGTATATTCTTAACAAAGTCCACCTTTCTCATTAAATCTCAACAGTTCACAACTCGGTCACACCAGAAAGAAAATGACCATTCAAAACAAAAAATGCACAAAGATGATTGCTGTTTTAACTGAAGTTCTGGAGAATCTGACTCTAAACTCACTTTCAGTGCTTGTAATAAACCTTACCTACTCCAAAGAATAATGGAGAAATAAAAATTGGCATCACATTTCCAAATCCAGGAACCAACAGAGGAATAAGACATGCTCTGTATACAAGCTCTTCTGTGAGGGGGGCCTATAGAAATGAATTTAAAACTTGAGAAAAATCATACATAAATTAGTCTCTGAGTAATCTGCACACAGTTCACTTCTCAGAATGTAACCAAATGCATTAATTATACAGCAAAAATCCTAGTCTTTATTTTGGTATTGTTCAGAGTTGATCAAACCTTCCTAATGCGCAAGCAATTGACTGACTGACTTATTTATAAAAATGAAATCAATTAGAAAAAATAACTGAATATGTTAAGAACTTGAAAACTGGTTTAACCTACCACAAGGTAGTTCCTCAAGTTAATGGCATTAACCCAACTGGATGGATATTCAAGAAAGCCTGGCAAAAAAAAAAAAACAATTAAAATTACTCCCCACCCATTCCTGTGACTGAGGTAACATAGTTAGAAGCCATACACACTAACATGAATTACTGAATATGTTACACAGAAATTCACCTTTCACATTCTCAGAGTCCCCACTGAAATAAAGCAATGTAATGGGTCCTAAAAATAAAATCTACAGTGGAGAAATAAAAGCAAATATGTTATAAGTTTGAAATAAATTGCACTTCTTTTTTTCAAAAAATTGCTTAAACTGTTAAGAAAAACTAAATAGAATAATAAATAACATTACATCTTACCACTGTTAAAACCAAAGGAAAAATAATTGATATAATTATATTTTCCACATGAATCCCTAAATATTTCCAAAGGGAGATACCCTAAAAAGCAATACAACAGAGATGTTATTTCAATCTGAAATAAAACATAGAATTTACAATAACCTAAAGAAGGAGAGATTTTTGATACACACAGAAACAAATACTTCAAGTTGGTGGGGTTGCTTTCTTTAAGTTTGTAGCCATATATGAAGTGTTTAGACTCAATTCCATTGATATACTGTACCTCTCTCTAAGGGGATCCCACTACAAACTGCAATATCACTGCAGACCTCTTAAAAGAGATGCAGGTCGGTGCAAACTCAAGTGCTAATGATGGTGAAATTTAAGAATCTTCATACAATTTTCACACTTATTTCTCAAGTCAGTTTCATATGTAGGTGAAAGGCACAGTGAAGAGTATATAAAAAATGATAACACAATAGAACAAGTTGCCCTTTTAGAAAGAAGCTCTTGATTGTTAAACAAATTCTCCTTGTCAGCACCTTACTAAGTGTATAGAGAACAGTATGGAGAATATGCATGCTGATGTTAGGGTGTTCAGGTTAAGAGTGCCTGTCAGTGAGAAATATAGATACACTTACATTGTAATCTAAAGATCCATCAGCCCACAGCCAAACATATAGTGGAGCCAACAAAGATATGAAAAAGACACTTCTGAATCTTTGCTTGATGGTTTTAGGATGATCCCTGCAGATAAATAATTGAGCAAGATTAATAAAATTTAAGTCCATAATTACAGAACAATCATGGAATAGTTTCTCACTAAAAGACTGCCTCAGATATTAATTAATTCAACAGTTTTTCTGAATAGGCCGGGTGTTCTGCAAGAAAAATGCAAGAGGTAATCCACTTACACAAAATGCAATATGTTCAGCCCATAATTTTACATTGATAATATATATCACTTAGATTCTCAAGATTCTGCATTTTTCTAACTCAGAATAATTAAAAAATGCCAGCGCTGTGTGACAAATATGGTAATTACCAAATAAGAAACACTCACTCTGGTACGCTGCCTGATTAAGGTGGTACCGAAGGCTAAATTTGGTGACTTCTATCTCAATTTGTGAATACAGTGGAACCTGTATAATGAGCAGTTACCCACAGGGAAAGGCACAGGGTCACCACTTAACACAGGTAAACCACTTAACACAGGTTGACCACTTAACACAGGTTGACCACTTAACACAGGTTGACCACTTAACACAGGTTGACCACTTGACACAGGGTAACCACTTAACACAGGTTCACCACTTAATACAGGTTTCACAGAAGAGGGGTATTAATAAACTATAAAAAAAGCTATTTTGGGTCATTATTGTTGACCCAATGTACAAAACCAGTTACTCAAAAACATGCTCAAAAATACAACTGGCGTTGATTTCAGGAGAGAAACATGAGCTAAAAGTTACTTGAAATATTTTGTTTTTGGTTTTCTTTAAGTAGACATTGAATTCAAGTGGAAGACAATTCAAACAGTCAGTTGGGACTAAGTAATGGATGACCATGTCTGCTTGTCATAGAGGTGACTGCCTAACAGAAGTGAAAACTGTTGCATAATCAGCAATTCATTTGAGCAATCATTAATCCTATTCATTCCCCCATTCACGCCTTGTCACGATATAAATACTTGTTAATTAGTGCCCATTGTCCCAACCGTAATATATGCAGAAATGCTACCAAATAATTATATAAACTCGTGAGTTTAGTTCTACTGAGAGGATTATTACTTTGATTAGTGTGTGTATGAATGAAAAAACTTTTTTTGCAGAACCAAGTACTTAACAAAAACTACAGTAATTGAGGGGAAACAAATTCGAGACTTTGACAACTGACCATCTAATACGGTGCAGATCAATACAAGTTTGACTGAATAATTATATCTTTACTGACAGATTTGTTACGATGACTTGAAATTTTCACAAGGGATATATGATTATACACATAATTTGAAAAAAAAATTTTAATTTACTCAGTGCTATGGAATTTGTGGTATTTTATGGAAATAAAGGTGTGTTCAAAAGGCCATTTTGGAGAAAAACTTCTCTAAATCCTGGCTTATTTCAAATTTCTCAAAATAGTTTGTCACATGAACAAAGATTAAGTAATGATTAGGATTTTTGGTGCAGTCCACCAAATAATTAACAATTATTCGCTGAAGGCAAGGTGAATATCGTCGAATAATCCCTGAGACAAAGTCGAGGATTTTATTCGAGAATATTCACTGAACCTGAGGCGAATAATTGTTTTAGTCTAATTTGAGAGCTGAACAACAAAGAAATTTCTAAAATCATAACATTTTAGTAACATTTGTGACCTCTCACACGAAAAAAGTTCCTTAGGAATGAACGCACAGCCAGCGAATGCACGGCAACTGAACGGATGAGAAACTGATAGCCAAGCCGTTTGAAACGGAAAGGCCAAACGGATGCACGGATGAAGAAAATATTCACACGGATGAAGTCAAACAGAGACACGGTTGAAAAAAATATTCGCACAGATGAAGTCAAACGGATACACGGATGAAGAAAATTCTTGCACGGATGAAGTGAAACGGACACACGGCTGACAAAAATTTTTGAACGGGTGCAGTCAAATGGATACAAGGCTGACAAAAATTTTTGAATGGGTGCACTCAAACGGATACACAGTTGACAAAAACGGAATGGAAGCAAATTTTTTATGCACGGATAGTCCGAGCCGTTCAAACAGAAGCAAATCTTTTTCGCACGGATAGCCCGACCCGTTCAAACGGATGCAAATTTTTTTCGCACGGATAGCCCGAGCCGTTTGAATGGATGCAATTTTTTTTCGCGCATGGATAGCCCGAGCCATTCGAACGGATGCCCAATCCATTCGCACGGCTAGTGCACAGCATACACACGGCATCCGTGCATAAACGGCAAACCATTAGGAACGGTTTCGCCTGAGAGGTCACATTTATTAACATTTTATTTTAACATTTTATATAAACCGCGTGGAGCGGTTTGTATAGCGTCATATATTAGGAACCGCTCGACCAATCAGATTGCTGGAAACTCTTTGTTCAGCTCTGAAATTATACTAATATTCAATATTGACAATCAAGTCATACAACTGGCATATTTGGACCTGTTTCATCACTAAGCGTAATTTGAATTGTTCTTACATTGGGTTGGGGACTCTCTTATACAGATTATCCAAATTTCTTTTTGTTTTTTATGTTATTTTCATTTAATTTTCATCATGGCAAACCACAAATTTTCATAGAAAAATGATATGATAATTATAGTCCCCTCTATTAACTATCATGGCTTAGATTTCCTATTGAAACATTAAATATTTCAATCATTTATCGATTTTAAGTCTGCAAAGTGAAAACCACCAACCACACGTAAACCTCTATTGCATAAGAATTATAAGGATTCAATTGATTATCACCGCGGGATCGATAAGAAAATTAACTTTACCATATCAGTGCATTTCAAGTCGTGGACAGGTGGTATTAAAAGTCAAAGTTTCGCATTCTTAACTGTCCTGATTAGCTATTTCGGTTCATAACTAATTAAACTCACCTGGGATAAGGCGATTTCAAAACATACAAGCTTGCAACATAGGCTACTGAAAGAACCAAACAAGCCATAATACCTCTAAAGCGAGTCATCGTGTTGAAACTTACAAACGGACCAAAGTGATCCATTACGCCCGCCATGTTTATATCAACGTATAACTGCTGACCACCTTTGAACGCTGGCCTTATAAATAATTGACAAAAGGGGAGGGGCTGGGGAGGAGTCGGGGTCAGGCATGATACTAACCCTCTTTTTTCGAAAAAGATCCCATACGAATATTTTTCTTGTGAAAATTATCTTAATTTGAGTGAGAATTATGCTTCATTTTCAGGCCAAATACTTCCCTGCATTTCTCGTTTTTGGAAAAGGTATTGAGCACTCCCCAAACGATCTGTTCTACTTAGCAAGAGCGAAAAAAACATTTAAGCATACTCTAGCATTGATCTAAAATATATGCTCCTTTCCGCTCATCGTGTCATTTCAACAAAATGAAACAGGGAATTCCACAGTCCACAGTCCCCTTTCCCGCAGTCCTCAGTATATATTTCCGGAATATCACTGTCGCGATCATCTGACCTTCGAGAAAACAATAGTCACGCCACATGGACAATGCGTGAACACTTCTGTACGTGCGCGAAGTGAGCAGTAGTTTTTCTGTGATCTTTTCCTATGACGTTGTTGTGGTAGAGGATTTGTTTTTGGAAAAGAATGTAATTTGTTTGTTGACAGCAGTTCAAAGTATGGAACCGTTTGACTTGGATTTGCTGAAGGAAGGAAGCTGGAGCAATGTTTTGTTCAGCTTGAGGCGTTACTCAGCTCAAGGATACAAATTCGCCCGAACGAGAACTCCTCAAGAGATTAAGTCAGATGTTCTGAGCTCCAGGAGAGTTCAGCATGTTATCGAAAAGGTATGGATTTCTCGGATTTTATTATTTATTCACGTAGTTTATCGTAGTTTTGCCTGTTATATATCGCATATTACCTCTAAACAGCTTTGTCCAACTGTCTGACGGACCTATTATTGTTAGCTGGGAAACTCCTAAGCACAAATTCGTAGTGGGAACGTCGGCCTAGTATTTTGATCTTGTGGAGGGAAATGGACACAGGAGAAATATATGCAACGATACCTTATGACTTTGTATTGACACATCTGAACATACAGCTGACTGTTTGACAAACAACTTGATGCGTCCTCTTATGAAGTTCGACTCAATTAAACATACATGCACAACCTAGTTGGCAATTATCTTACAGGGCACTTCAATCATATAATAATATGGAAGTTGGCGTTTTTATGCCAGGCGTGGGAAGAATAAACTTGACTACGCCAGATTATTATGAGCTAACACTAAACAGCTGTTTCGAAACTGACCAACTCTGAGGTCCAATCACTGAGTGATTGCACCTCAAACCTCGCTGAATTTAACTCAGGCTCATGCAGTTTTGCGATCATAATCAGAATAAAGATCGACATCGTTCACTTTGATGCCATAAACCTTAGGGTTAGAATAGAGTTTTCTTCCAATCATTCCATTCCTTGATTAGAAGCGAAAATAAGGCTTGCAAATTAATGATTGTAGCAAATTGTTTATAAATATATTTGTGTGTCCAAAGAAACCCTCTGTTCCCAATGTAAAGCAGCTTTGAAGATAATTCGGTTCTATCTTGCAGAAAATTCTTGAATTTTTATTTCAGTCCCATTACAATTTGTGAAAATGTTATTGAAAGATGATTTGCCCATTTTCACTTTTAAGGAGTGATCAATGTATAATTTCCTCCTACATTATCATTATATTACCAGGAAGAAGGGTGATCCTAAGTTAAAAAGCAAATTTAAACTGGAAAATTACAGTTTGATTTGATAACAAATTCAGAGTTCAAATTATTTGAAAGGGAGAGTACATTTAGAGAGAATTACTCCAGTTGTGGGAGTTAAATCAGATAATGGTTCATTACTTTAAATTATGTTTGCAGACTACTGAGGAAAGAAATACAACAGTTGAAAACATCACTGATGAAGTAAAAGCAATTCTAGAAGAGATGGGTCATAACTTCAATCTTAATAGCATCAGGTTAATGGCTATGATGTTGCGTAAAATACTTTGCACACTTTTCCGCCGAGTTCTAATCAATAGGGAAGGCCTAGAGAGGGTGAGTAAATTGTTAAGTAGATTTGTCTATAAAATAATCTTAGCCTCTTTTTAACACTTTGTTTAGCCCTGCAAGGAAAAGAGAGTTGCCACTAGACAAATTTTTGAGTTTAGGGGGTAAGTTTCTAAAGAAAAATGTGGACATTTTTCTTCACTCAGTTATTTAGCCAGGTGTTGTCCGCCTGCATTGTCACAAGATACAGGAACACTTAATTAAATCAGACCTAGGTGCTATTAGTTCAGTACAAGTTCAAGTTGTTTCCTGTTTTAGCATTGTCTTTCCACCAAATATTCTCTCTGCCTCTCTTTCTCCCTTCCTATAAAGCGCCATTCTTGAATGACTTGTGTTGTGCTGGTGATCTTGAAATGTACTAAATTTTAATGGCTGATTGTTTATCAGTAAAAATCAGTAAAAGCAATATATTAATCATTTCTGTCTTAAAGATGTCTTGGCAAAACAATGTACGTGCTGGAAGCACAAATAAGGAAACGTTTGGATGACTGGGTTTTATACACATAGCACTCAATCAAAACATGTGTCAAAAGTTAATTTTTAACATAAAGCTACTGTTCATGTCTTTTTTTTTTAGTTTATCGTAATCAGACATGACATGACACTTAGCATATTGATGCACTACCTACAAATAGCAGAGCTAGTCTTGGCGGGCAGTTTGTGGATGCTAAAACATCTTAAATAAAATTCGGCTCAACAAAAGATTCAATAAATATGCAAGAAACAGAAATTAAAATATTAAATTAGTAACGCAGAAATGACAGTATGAGATAAAAATACAGAAACAGAAACACATGACAATATATAGAAGAATACATAAGTTATACCATACTATATTAACTGGATTTAACTTTTGACACATCATTGATTATTCGTTCTACGTCAACATAACTGTCCTCAACTTGAAGATTTTAAAATAATATTGTTGTTATCTTTTTCTTGAAAATATGTTTTGGAAGATTCCTTAAGTTTCCTGGGATGCTATTCCAAATCTTACAACCAATCCTTGAGAATGCATGAGTTTTTATGTTGATTTAGCCTAGAACAGTTTACGTAATAGTTACCGGCTATTGTATGATTTTATTGAAAATCTTAATCCCTCTCTCTCCTCCACCAGCCTCAACCCCAAAGCCTTGCTACCCCTTTGCAGTTGGTCCTTGTTTTTTAACTGGCTAGGTTCTTATTCTTTTTAGCTCTCACATGGTAATTACATATAGCAGTTTTTCAGACCACTTCTTTTAGATTTTTATTGTTAGTTTTCAAATGATTCTTGTCCATTAATGGTCATGTTTTATTTTTATTTAGTTACGAGATGCTCCAAAGAACAACCCAGTTGTATTTATCCCTTCTCATCGCAGCTACATGGATTTTCTTCTTGTGTCATTCATCTGTTTCACTATGGACATTCCATTGCCTTTTATTGCAGCTGCTGCAGATTTCATGAACATGCGGGTCATCCGCACATTGTTCAGAAACAGTGGAGCATTTTACATGCGTCGTTCTTTCATGTCAGACCCGTTATATTGGGTTGTGTTCACAGAGTACATACAGAATCAACTTCAGATTGGGGATCAACCTCTAGAGTTCTTTTTAGAAGGAACAAGAAGTCGAACAGGAAAATTTCTGCAACCTAAACTTGGTAAGTGTTCTTTTATTTATGTAAAGCTGGAAATATTAGAGATCATTTGTATTGAGTTAAAAAAATGTATATGAAAAGTCAGTCTGGTGTTGTCACATCTGACCAAATGAATCAAACATTACAGGACTTTCTTCACAATTTTCTCTTACAGTAGAACTATTTAGTTGTTGTAAAGACAGAATGAACATCAAACCATTGATTTTACCTCCAATGAGGTTTGTATTTTAAGAGAAAAGCATCCTACAACTGTTACAATAACAATGGCAGCTCTGAAAAGCTTGAAGAAGTACCATTTGTTCCTTGTGTGGGACACACGAGCATGAAAGATTTAAAGAAACTGCCAACAGGATCTATAACAAGTTAACTATAATGCAAAACAAATGTCTAACTCAAAATGTCAGTTATTCATTCTAAACTCTGTTCAACATCAGTTGTATGGATCATCACCAGTTGCATAAATTCCTCTGCCATAAACTTCAAGTAGGTCACTTTGTATAAAAAAAAAATTTCCTACCTAAAGGAGAGAGGTAGCAGAACATGTTGAATCATTATGCTGAAGTTTCCCCTCACAAACAAAATTCCCATGCAAAATTCCCATGCAAAATTCCTAAAGCCTACAAATGAATTGATATCTAATTCAACACCTGCGCATAATGTTTAATTCAGTAGAATCATTATCACAAATCAGCTGACAAAGATAACAACAAATTATTTACCAGGTGTCCTTTCCATGGTAGTGGATGCCTACACAAATGCTCGTGTGCCAGACATTATAATTTGTCCGATCAGTATAAGTTATGACAGAATTCTGGAAGAATCACCTTATGCTTATGAGCTTCTGGGAATACCCAAACCAAAGGAATCGCTCAGAGTGAGTACTACTTATAATTGGAACAAATTTAGTCACAATGAACTCATGCCAACCCCTGGAAGGAGCTTTGTGGAATCAGTGTGACTTAGGGTAACAATTTCCAAAGATCTTGATGAAGGGGAAAACTGCATACAAAAACTGATAATCCCTTCATGGCTAGACCATACATGTACATCCCAATATCTTACTTGCATGTACATGTAATTTTTCATAGGTGCCCTTTTTCACAAGTTTTTTATTTTTTTTTTTTGAACTCAGGTTTGTTCAGTTCCGTTACAAATCATTTCATCAGTCCAAAGCATATACCTGAATGCAATATTTGAGCTTCAAGAACAAGTTGAAAAGCATGTGGAAACAATGTTAAATGGAATGACTTTTCGCAAGCTTTTTGAGTTGCTTGCATTACCATGGATTTAGTACAAACATATTAATTTACCAGTAATCAGTATTATGGCTTACTGCATGACTATATAACAATATGTTATAAATAACTTACTTGGTTAAAAAAATCAATCAAGGTTAAATCAAAATTAACCTGAAATCGAATTTGACCTGTAACATACATTTTGCAACTCCTCTACTTTAGAATTTTGCAAAAGTCTTGTACTTAGAATCATTTAATTTTGCAGTTTTGAGTGAGGCAGAATGTTTCCGAGTAGATCTTAAATTTCTTTCAAGAAATTCTTAATCACAGTTAATCAAGAATGTTCCTCCATACCTTCAAGGTAACAGATGAAATCCAGATCCCTAGCTTTAATTTTAATAAACATTTTTTTCCAAAATATCTAATAATTTAGGGTTTGATCAGAAGCAGATCTGTCCTGACAGAGGACTATGGAAGTATTCATGTTCACATTGGAGAGCTTATACCACTGAGTAGATTCACAGAAGGAAAAATTAACAGGGCAGATAATGCAGCTATACCAAGGTAATTGTAAGGAGACTGCTAGGAAATTTTTTTTGAAGGAATGCTAATTCTGTTGCCACTTCATTGTCACCGTGATCTTCAGTACTCCATATTCTGTTATGAAGAGCAGAGTTGAGGGCATTTATTAGCCACCTCAGCACATATGAATCAACCCCGATCTGAGGGACCAAGAAATTGCTCTTTGTCTTGCCAAAGCATGCGACATAATTATGGAGGTTAAAACTCCTGTTTGGGTCAACTGAATTTAGAGGGCCTTAAAAGAGTATGCAAGCCACCCCACTACAAGGTAGGGATCTCATGGAATATTTCCACTGTGCCAGAAAGAAAAGCTTCAGGTAAAACAAAAGGAGTTCCATAAGAATCACCCCTTAATTGATTTTTGTCACACTTGATTGTTACAATTGAGGATTGAGCCATTTGAGTATCTGAAGTAGTTGAGTTAGGCTAATAAACTTAGATACAAGTACATGTACGTTTACAAATTTGCTTTACCCATAAAGTCAAATCTGGAAATGTCATGATTGTTACCTTAAGAGTCATGAATATCTCTGCATTTATCGCTGGAATATGCAGCACCAACACTACAATGTGGCTCTAAAAATTGTCAATTAAACAATTGTTTTCTTTACCAGACATTTGTTTCATTATTTGTCCAATGAAGAGAAGAAAGTGGTAAAGTCTCTGGGATACAAAGTGCTGCATGATCTACAGAAAGGAATGATTCATTCTCCTAGTGTTCTTGTGGCTTCCATTATGCTACAAAACTTACAAGGACTCCATTTTGGTGAGTTAGATTAGAGAGGAATGGTAGTTGGTGGATGTTTTCCTTGACTGTGTGATAGCTCAGTGCTTATCACAAAGTATTAACCCCAAGCAGGTCTTGTAGGATAAGAGATCACAATCAACCTCTCAAATGTTGCCCATTGACAAAGGGTTCTAACATGATGGTAAAAATCCTGTTTTGGTGGAATTAATCGCTGAGACCGAGACCCTAACTTGCATGTAGATGGAGTCAACTGTTTTGTTTTTGGTTTTGGTTCATTTGTTATGTTTCTTGTTTTGTTTTTGGGTTTTTTATTTTTCTTGTCTCTTGTTTTTGTTTTGTTGTTGGCTTTTTGTGTGTTTGTTTACTTATCTGTTTTATTTTGTTGTTTTTCTTATCGCTGCATACATATAGCTCCATGTTTTTTTTTTTAATTTTCTCGTTTCATAACATTGCAGATGAGCTGTTAGAAAAATTTACCTGGTTGAGAGAGTTGTGTCACTTGTGGAATATTTCCATCAAGTCTGCAGGTTTGTTTGATTAAAAAAATAATAATAAAAAATAAAAAACAGAGTAGATTGAAATGCATTCTTGGCATTTTATATGAGAAGCAATAAGAAGAAATAAAAATATCATTCTTTCCCAAATGAATACAAATTTCTCAAAGTTGATGAAAAGTTTTGACCTGAAAAGGATTTAAAATAATACTAAATCATCGCCAGAGTTTTTTTTTTTTTTTTTTTTTTTTTTTTTTTTTTTTTTTTTTTTTTTTGACGCAGTAGGCCCGTGGAGGCACACACTTTGTGACTGGACTGAAAACGTGAATACAGCTTTGAATCGCTGGAAATTTTATATCTCGTTTTTCCTCATTTTTCGCAACTCCACTTTCTTCAAAAATTCTTAAAAAACATCAATTGAAAAAGAAACACATTTTAGTAACTGTGATGTGGAATTCTGAAGTGTAAAATGTACTTTTTATCTTTAGAGAGTTGGACGAGTTATTCGTGTAGGTGTACTGAACTCATTTTTCCTTGGTTTGTTGATCTAGGTAACACGGACAGTGTAGTTTTGGTAAACGAGAGTATTGATTTCTTAAAATCGTCTTTGGAGAAAACCAAGGAGGGATTTGTGAAAATCCGAGACATAACCACAAATGCAATTGAAGGAGCCAGTTCTTCAGGGCAAGGTGCAAAGGAGCGCGAACACCTCGCCAAGTCCGTAAGAAATGTCAAAGATGAGGCAGCCATACACATGATGTTAGCGTGTAAACGAAATGTTATTTTGTGTGATTTCTTCAGAACTGGCTTGTTTTCCTTATGTGCGTACAAACAGCCTTCTTCAGAAAAGCACTTAGGTAAGTTAATGACGTTGTCACTAAGGTAAGTTAATGACGTTGTGAAATCGTTTTCCCCGTATTTTTTCTTTTCGTTTTTTTTTTTTGTTACTTGTGTAAATAAGTTGTTTTACCGTTCTCATTTCCAAGGCCTTTTTTTTTTTTCGATTAAGAAAGAGATCTGATTTGTTATTGCATTCGGGTAAAACAACCAATCAGCGAAAGCTCGCGCATCTCTGTTAAGTGACGTCGTCAGTAAAGGATTATCACGCAGCACGTGATAGCCTTAGCCTGTAAAACAGTCTCCGGTTGCAATGGCCTAGGAGGTACCGGCTTCAAGTGATGCGGCCGGTGCGGGGGAGGGGAGGGGGGAGGGGGAAGAGGTTCTTCTCCCCCTCGTTCTTTAATTCTCCCTTTTCTGTAAGCTCTATTCTCTCTTGAAGAGCCTGTGCACAGACCAGATGGCCTGAGCAGGGCCAGGTACTTTGTGACCTCGAGTCTGTTACTCTCACATCCAGCCGTCCCGTCAATAAGTGCACAGTATTCGATCCCGCACCTCAGATATTTTTTCAGTGTTAAATGCTACCTGATTGCATTGCTCCAGAATTTATCTAACCGAAGTTGTCTGACTCTTTGCTCCATGAAAATGTTTTTAAGTGTGACTGTTGGCCATGGTTCCACCTTTCGAAAATGTTTGGGCCGAAATTTTCACCGGAATGACGAGGTGCTATCAAGGTTATGTCTAATGTTGTTCTAAACATTTTCCTGTTTTCTGTTAGTTCAACTGTTTGCTGATTTTGAATTTTTGATGAAACTGCTGGTGAAAGAAGTTCCTCCAGTCACTGAACAAATTCTCGAGGTAACGACCAATGTCTCCTGAGAATTTGTCTGCTGTTTGTTGGAGTGAAATAGTTTTGATTTTCATTTCAAAGTTAAATGCCTTTCTTTTATAAGTTGTTTTGTTTTACCCCATCCCCAGAATTTTGAGTACTTTCGGGAGACTGTTCAGTCACTAGAACACCATGGCTCCATAAATAATCGAAATGGGAAAGTAAAGATACTTCAGGAGAAGGACATAGCTTTCAGTGCGAACATATGGAGACCTATTTTGACAGCGTACTGGGTGAGTCAAAGACTAAATTTTTTATGTCAGATCGTCTCCATTTCGAATTTAGACTGAAGATTGCTTTCTTTTTATGGGGGGAGGGGAAGACTTTAGCCTGAAAACGTTCTTTAAGTTACATTTTATAGAATAAATCAACCCCTATTTTTCTCTCGTATCTTAAGGTTGTTGTAAGTATATTGAGTACAGACTAAGGTAGGTAAGGATGCACTTCAAAAAATTACGCACTTATGGTAGGCTGAAAAAGAGTGCATTTTTCAGATAACACGAGTGCAAATTATAACTAGCGCGCACACTATCAAAACTTCGTCTGTCTTCACTTTCTGTGATGCTTTATTCAATTATTAATAAATAATAACATGATTTCTTGCGCAATCTGTAACCTACGTGTAACCGTACCCCCCCTGTCCCAGGAGTAAGGGGGAGAGGGTACAGCTACACATAGGCTTTGCAATTTGGTGTAGATAAACACTTGCAAGTGCTATAACTGCTTCATATAAACGAAATGATGACCAACTCTCACCTAAAGGCGTCAGTCCTGGTACATACTTTACAGTTCGGTTAATCGCAACCGAGATTCTCTTAAAAAAAAAAAAAAAAAAAATTTAACAACATTCACACATAAAACAGGGGGACAAAAATGACTCGCAGAAATATTTCTTGATTCTACGTCTATCAACTAAAGGTAATTTTGAGGTGTGTTGTTACCATCTTTAGATTACATGTCAGTTTTTTGCCAACTACCCTGATAGAAATCGCGAACGACCACTGTCAGAGATGGTAAAACAAATTCAGAACAAGGCAGCTGAGCTTGTGCTCACTGGTGAGTGGTACATGTGTTAAAACACCAACCGGACAACTCAAGGGATAGCCCTCGGGATAGACTTTGTCATTACCCTCGAGACAATAATTGCAAGTTCAGCCGCCAATTTAGTCGACAACCGCAGCTTGGAGCGTCTGGAATTGAGTATCAGAGAGGAGAATTTGAGCTTGTAACTCCATGTTTTAAAAGACTCGTCCTGGGTTTGTTATGTCCACTCATGGTCGACCATACTGCATGCATATTTCGAGCGTGTAAATGTGTTTTGTAATCCAGTAGCCGAACTATTTTTCATTTCGACTCAGTAGAGACAAGGCGGGGAGGGGCGTGGTCACGTGGTCTGAATTATCATGCATTACTTCGTTCTGCAGGTGATGTGAAGTTCTACGAGGTCCTTTCGCTTGATTTGTTAAGGAATTCTGTTATGGCTCTGGTCGATTTGCGGGTCGTTGATGCATCTAAAAGGTAAAGGTATTTTAAACTGTCATTTGTTTGCATCCATGAGCTAACCTGTTGGTGCTGATACAATTTTTTTGTCTTATAGCGTTGATGGCGCTGTTGTTGTTTCAGTTCCAAGCAGTTCAAAGGTCACGGAAACCTTGCACAAAATAGGTAAGTCGATAATGGAGGTTTCCTTACCGCGCATCGTTGCTTAAAAAAAAGTCATTGAGGTGGCTGGAAACGGTTTTCCAAGACACCTGTTGACTATACTCACAGCCCTCAAAAAACCAACTTTCCCTCTTCGCAGTTGAACTATTTTCGCACAATTGTTGATCAAAGGATTGAAGTGTGAAATAGTGGACGCGGCATGGCAGTCGTTATGGGGAAACCCCGCTAAGCAGTTTTTGGGGAGGATATCAGAATTTCCTCGATAGCTTTTTTCTCACAACGTCTCGCTGCTGAGTGTTTGTCACAGAAGTGGCGAGATGCACGTCCTTCTTTGTGGCTTTCATGGGGAGTATCAAATAAGAATTGAACCCAAGAATCTTTTTCTATTTTTTGTAGGCGAATATCTCGACCTGCCATGTTCGACTTTGACTTTGACCTTGCCTCAATTATCAAAGCTGTGAGCGAAAAGTGCTTAACAAGCAGTAATAATGACAGCGATTTGCAACAGGAGCTAAAGATGGAAACAACAAGATACCTCTGGAGTCAATACTTGAACTAAATGCTTCCAAGTTTTCTTTAACCCCCCTCTCTCTCTCTTTCTCTCACTCCCTCTCTCTCTCTCTCTCTCTCTCTTTCTCTGTCTGGCCCCCAAGAGTCACTGGCACCTTACAATATCACCCCTTAATCAAACAGTGAGGTCAGGGGAATAAAGCAAATGATCACCATTAGAAGAAGCTTTTGGTTGTTAGACGAATTCTCCTTGTCAGCACCTCAGGATATGTATAGACAACAGTATGGAGAATATGCATATTGATGTTAGGGTGTATGGGGTTAGAAGACTGGTGCTCCCTCACCCATGATCAAGTGAGAATGATGCTAAAAGTCCTTTTTGATTGCCGTTTTATCCAACTGGCGTAAAAGGAAAAAAATTAAATTTGCAGTGAGCTTTTAAAAAAAGAGCAATTGCACAAACAATTGAGCTTTGGAGTTGAAATGCACTTACCACTCCTTCCTCTGTAGAAAACCTATTTTCATTATCTCATTTTTCTATTTTCATTATCTCATTTTTCTATTTTCATTATCTCATTTTTCTATTTTCATTATCTCATTTTCTATTTTCATTATCTCATTTTTCTATTTTCATTATCTCATTTTTCTATTTTCATTATCTCATTTAGTAGAAAAAATCGGGTAGATAGGATGTTTTAATTAGCTCCAACCGGCGTAAAAATCAGATCTGTGAAGAGCCAATCTTTCTCGTGCACTGGGAAAGTGAATCGCGTGATAGAATGATCTTCAATTTGTTTTCTGCATTATGAAGTCTGAGAAGTGCATCGTTTGAAACGACTAAGGTGACAATAAGTTTTAAACAAATTTCTAGAATCAGTGAGGCAATTATTGCTATTCACTATCATTCGTTCAGCTATTATTGTCAACCAATGTTGACAACTTGACTTTGTGGAACTAAATATCAAGAGAAAAGAATTAAACGGCGAAGAGGTAACCAAATAAACAAAGAACTGCTAAATATATCGTAACGTTTTATTGCAGTAAATGTTAATAATTACTGCCCCCCAGTATCGACGGTAACTGTTCGATGTACAATTAAAAGTAAACCTTAAAAAGTGTGACGTTCTTCACTTGGGGAAAGGGAGCCCGAGATACAGCGATTTGGGTAAGGGGGGGTGGTGGCAGGGAAGGGGGTTGAAATAATGAACTTGGGGCTCTAGTTATAAGCTTGTACCATCTGCTATGAGCTCACTGTCTCAATTTTTAGGAGTAAACGAGTTGTCATGTTGAGTTGAAGGAGGAGCATCAAAGGTGATGATGTTTGGGGGGAGGGGGAGGGGAAGAGCTGAAATTTTCAAGTCATTCTAAATCTGCAAATCCGCTCAATTAACCGTAAAAATCACATTCCTCACGTTTTTGAAAGCCAAACCCGCCGATTCGCAAACCTATCCATCTCTCTGTACAGTGAGTGTGGCGATGTTGAATCAAGGCCTCATTACCACTCACGCTGTCGATACATAGCGCGCGCGCATTTTGTTTCGTGTCGCGCGCGAAACTCATTATGACGCGTCCATTTGAAGGGTCGGTTAATTAACAAATGGTAAACACCACAGCGTACACTATTGAGTTATGGATGCACGCGGGAGGTTTCTAAGCACGAAAGAAGGGTAAGAGTCGCTCGAGGCGATAGCCGAGAGCGACTCTAGCTTCTTGAGTGCTTAGCAAACCTCCCAAGTGCAACCATAACTCAATAGTGTACGCTGTGGTGTTTACCATTTGTTTTACAACATAGCATTGATACATTGTAGTTAAAGAGTTTTCTTTTATTTAACAAATCTTATGTGACCAGAGAGAACAAGCGCGCGGAAAAATAGTCTTTGCATATGCTCACGTCAGCAGCGTACACCCATGGGCAAATGGGGGACGCTAAATTGACCAATCAGAGCGCGCGCTTTACTTTGGTTATGTTCTAAAATGATCTCACGTCCACAAGGAACTTTCTAACTTAGAGATACCATGCAGTTCTCCTTGAGTTGGATTTTTTATTCATTGTTTCGCTCCTTGCAGCCTTCCCCGGTCATGGTCCAGGTATAGTGAAAAAAAAAACCTTGTTCTCTTTCTTTTTGCAATTTAAATTTAGTTTTGAACAGAAATGGTGTCAGTACGAGTTTTACGAAGCGTGCCTACCGTCTTTTGCACTTGATCTAAAGGTCTTCAAGACATCCACAAGGCTTTTCCGGTGTTGTTCGGGACATATTGCAGCACCACTCAAGCTCGCTAGTAAGTAGAATGCCATCAAACGTTATACAGTGAGCCGAATGATTCGCGTCCTCTGATTCGTGTCGTATAAAAGTTTTAGTAGCGTGGACGGGTCTCGATTCCATCACAGAGTTAAGAGGCAGTCAAAATAGGTTGAGAGCAAGAGCGATAGACCCGCTTAAAGCTGTTGCACCACTTTTCCTTGTTCTCGTCACACGTTTTTGAGTAATAAGTGATCTTTAATTTGACAGACTCAATGACAGCAAACTGAAAGCTATTGGTTAATTTTCATTTGGCTTCCAAAAATGATTGGGACGACAGGGCCAAATAACGAAATTCTTAGGGGTTGTACAAAGTTTCAGTGGAGGTTGTTGTGTAAAAGAAAAGCGGCAAGGAAAACGACGCCTCGAGACAACAGAGTAGGAAATCAACCATGCGAACGATTGAAAATCCGTTTCCGCTGCAAAACCTAGCGCATGCGCATACGTTATTCAGCTCTGTCGATCTGGGCGACATTTTCGAAGCAGGTGATGGCAAAAAGATAAAAGCTGAAGCTATTTTCTTTTCCTGTTGTTTCGAAAAGCAAATATTTTTGGTATGTTGAGAACTGCATTCGAGATGTTGCCTCTGCCCTTACTTGGACTATAAATATGATTCACAGCGGATTAGAAGATGAACAAGGTCGGTTAAAAATGAAAAAAATGATAATAAATTTATTTACCGATACCTCTTTATTTCAAAAATTATTCGATAGTTTGTTCAGTTTACTTCTCTGTCAACTCTTCTTTTCCCTTCTGTCGCCCTTTTCTCAAACTCCTTTTCCCAATTAAATGCTTTTGAACTAGGCCTTGATCCTTTACACGACATTTAGAACAAGTTCTTCAGAAGCTTCCTTTTGAAATATATTTAAACTCATCAGAACTGTCACCCAAAATTCGTCCAATGAAGTTCCGAACCATCATTTCTTCAGACAACGTTAGAAGTTTGCGATCCAAATAAATCCAACAACATTTTAAGAGTCAGTTTGGATTCTCACAACAGTGTGTATTTAATGAGGTAGAATATATAACTAAGTATAAATGACCCTATTTCAACTTTTCGAAACAGATCTCAATTATCCAACTGAGGTTCTCCGCGAACAGCGCTTGAAGAAAGTCACAGAGCTTCTGACCATTGTTATAATGTCGGCTGTTTGTCTCACAATAAATCACTCGACTCTGAGCCGGAAAAACTTCCTGTCGTAAATAGGTGAAAAGAACTCTTTGAACGGGTTTGGAAGGGAGCTTAAAGAACTGGGGAGAGAAAGTGAAGTGGAGGCTCCGGATAATTGATTTGAGAATAAAAACCACTACCACTTTTAAACTACTGTTTTTTTGTAAAGCTCGTTTACACAGCCACAAATAGTTCTGTTTGGAACTTACAATAAGAGAGGGAAAGTTTAACAGGACAATTCAAATCGTAAAATAATCTTCTCTTGCTTGTATATTTACTTTTTCACGAAAAGTTATCGAGATAATATGCATGACCCAGTGTATCGAGCTCGCTTTCAAGCATATTGAACTTCTGCTATTCGCAGCTTTTTTTCTCATTCTGGAACATCGTTTTATTTAAGGTACATCGACGTTGAGAGTTTTGCTTACATCTTTCCACAAGAAGAAAGTGGCAAATCGTATTCACAAGCAAACTTTCACCAGAAGACAAAACGACAGTTAAACCTAAAATGTTAAACGACATCATTAACTTTATTAGCAAAGCCGTGTGCTTGTTTTTTAGTTCGAACTAGAAAAGCTTAGAAATATCAGTTTACAAATATCAACTCCATGGAATAAAAAAGTAATTTTCTTCTTCGTTTCCCCATTGACTAGCGCGGACCAGCTTGTAAAGCGAAATAAAATTAAAAGTATCTCCGTAGATGCCTTAGACATTTAGATTTGCCACTGAAGCATAGCATTAAAAGATCAAAGGGATCTGTTCGTCCTCATTGAATGTGATGGATGCTTGCTTAGGATCCAGGGTCCAATCACTCTTGACCGATGTGCCATTCACCTCTTGAATTTTCTGCAAGACAGGTATAATTGAATTGAGGGGATTAAACAACTTTACCTACGAGTCATAGCAATACGGCCAGGATATGAAAGTGGAAGCTAAACAGGTGTAACTACTGTTCAAAGATATCGACCTTTTTTGTTTTTGTTTTTGTTTTTATTTCTCTTTTGAGATCAGGCTAATTTAAGCAGATTAACTTTGTTTTTTCCGAACAGTTCTTGTATTACTAGGTGTTGTACATCGACAATATACACATACTTTGTGATCTGGTTTCAGGCCTTTCGCTGGGACCTTCTTCTCCTTCCCGACTCCTGGATTTTGGACCTGCTCGTTCCCGTTGACTCTGATGGATGCATCTTTCACCACTTGAATTTTCTACAATTCAGATGCAAGTCACTTTAATAGGAAATTTGAAAAGTAAGCCTTACTTTTCATTATGGAATAATTACCCTAACTGTTTAAATCTCTCTGGTGCAAGCAAATCGACCACATTGACCGTCGATCTTTTTAAAGCATACACTGACAATGTAAACATACTTTCTGTCCTGGGGCCAGGGGTTTTGATGGGGGGTACGTCTTCCTTTTCTCGTCTGAAGCCTCTAGTGTCTCCTCTTCCGTTACAGATATTGGTAGTATTGGTTGAATCTGCTCTTCACAACAGATACAAATCAAGTTAATGGGAAATTAAATGGGATAACAAAGTTATGAGTTACAAGAAAGCTAGCACAGCCTGGAAAATGGAGCTGAAGCTCGATCAAATGCACATTTAAACACCTTAAAAGACCGTACAGCATACAATGACAATGTAAACATACTTTGTGTCCTGGTCTCAGGGGTGTTGCTGGGGGGTACGTCTTCCTTTTCTCGTCTGAAGCCTCTAGTGCCTCCTCTTCCGTTATTGGTATCGGCAGTATTGCTTGGGCCTGCTTGTCAACGCAGATACAAATCAAGTCATTGGGAAATTGAATGAGATAATAAAGCTTTGAGTTGCAACAAAAACAGCGCAGCCTGTAAAATGGAGCTGAAGCTCCCTCTAATGCACAGTTTCGTACTTCTAAAGACCGAATAAAACACTATGACAACGTAAACATACTTTGTATCCTGGGGCCTGTGGTGTTGATGGGCGGTACGTCTTCTTTTTATCGTCTAAAATTTTCCGTGTCTCTTCTTCCATTAATGTTGGATGGCCCTGCTCGTCAAGGAAGATACAAATAAATTATATTGAAATTTTTAATACGATGAATTAACCTATGATGACTCATAATAACAATAAAAAAACACAGCTTGGAATATGGAGCTGAAGTTCGATCAAACTCACATTTACGGGCTTCAAAAGACGATACAGCTTGCAATGACAATGTAAACATACTTTGTGTCCTGGTCTCAGGGGTGTTGCTGGGGGGTACGTCTTCCTTTTCTCGTCTGAAGCCTCTAGTGCCTCCTCTTCCGTTATTGGTATCGGCAGTATTGCTTGGGCCTGCTTGTCAACGCAGATACAAATCAAGTCATTGGGAAATTGAATGAGATAATAAAGCTTTGAGTTGCAACAAAAACAGCGCAGCCTGTAAAATGGAGCTGAAGCTCCCTCGAATGCACAGTTTCGTACTTCAAAAGACAAAATAAAACACGATGACAATGTAAACATACTTTGTATCCTGGGGCCTGTGGTGTTGATGGGGGGTACGTCTTCTTTTTCTCGTCCGAAGCCCTTAGTGTCTCCTCTTCCGTTACTGGTATTAGCGGTATTGCTTGGATCTGCTCGTCAACGCAGATACAAATTAAATTAAATGGAAATTAAACAAAATGAGATAATAAAGCTATGAGTTCCAAAAAAAAAGAACAACAGCACAGCCTGGCAATTAGAGTAGAAGTTCAATCAAATGCACAGATACGCACTTCGAAAGACGATATAGTGTACATCGACAAAATACACATACTTTGTATCCTGGTTTTAGGGGTTCTGCTGGGATCGCCTTTTTTTCTCCGGCTATAGATTGCAGTGTCCTTGCTTCATTGACTGATGTCAGCCATTCTTCTGCATCTTGGATCTCCTCGTAAAGGTTCGTAGTTATGTGTTCTCCATGTTGTAACAGGGTCTTCTCTTGAGAGTTCACCGCACTGGAGAACGTTGCATGACTGCACACCAATATAAACATTAAAACAGCATAGCACATCATCTGTATACAACCGATAAAAAATGAAATTGAGAGCTTTCCAAAACCACAAGAAAAGAAATAAAGAGGAACGAATCTTTATTATTAAAGTTCACCTAAATTTCGATAAGTTCTCGGAAGAAGTAATCTTTGATATCATGTTTGGTAGCGTCTTTTTTCCCAAGTTCCCAAGAAAACCTAGTTTTTTCCCCATTCTGAAGGATAGAAATCCCAAACACTTTTCCATTTGGATTTACTCTATTATCCACGCGATCTTTTAAAGACTTATTGAATGCCATGATGTCCTACATTATTTGATCACCATGGCCATGGTCAGCAATCATTTCAGACCGTTTGATTTTGTCCCTTATTATATCTCAGAGAAATTTAAAAAGCAAATCATTTATTTCTTTTAACGATTTGAAACGTAGACATACTGATGACATACTACAGACCAATTGGAAAGGCAGTTAGCGTCTTTATAATTGTAATCCTTCCAGGAAGCGTTAATCTCTTGTTTTGCTTTTTGTTCAGATATTTGAAAGCAATTTTTTAGTCAGTTTTGGGAAGGCCAGTGTTGTATATGGCAAGGTTTTTAGGATTTCTAAATGGCTTCTCTTGACCAGTGATTCTCGTGACCACTATGTCGCGTCTTCCCGCACTATGATAGGATAACGCAAATAAAAAGATGCTAAGAAACCCGCGTTTTTTCTATTTCATCTTGTTTTTTAAAAGCTCTCGATAAGGAACTTTGTCTATTTCAATGTTCAGTGTTTGGACTCCCCAGTTTTCATCAGTTTCTACCGCTTATCACGATTTCTCTTGACTCGACGATCCGAATGATTCGATCAGTTAATCGAAAAATCGATGTAAAATCGAAACACATTTTTACTATTAACATCTAGCTATTTAGGATGTGCACCCTCTGCAAATAAAACAGAGATTTTCTGGATGCGAGAGTGGCTTCCTGACGATAATACGTCATAGTAGAACAGCTTACCCTTTCTTATGCTGTCGCTTCCACCAGGGGTAGTAGCAAACGAAAAATAGATTTCGCGGAAAGGAAGAAACATTTTTGTTCGTGAAAGAAAACTCGTGACTCTTCGTGACAACAATGTGACTGGGTACACGTATCTTTTACTTATTTAAATTACACATGAGAAAAATACGCGCGTCTGATTGGCTGAAAAGAGTGCAGTGAAATTTAATCGTTCATGGTTACCTCAAAAGGAAAAAAAGGTGGGGAAACTAAGACTAGAGACTTTTCGAACAAAAGTTTATTCTATATAACGACTATTCCGTTGATCAACCTTTTTTTTTAAGTTTTATCAAGAGTTATAAGCGTTAAAAACACCGCGACTAAGACTCAAAGCATGTCGGAGCACACGTGATGGGGTCAATGATCGGTCGTTGTTTAGTAAATCAGCTCACACTATACTCCCCAAAGATCGCGCCTTTCCCCACAACACAACCGCAAGGTATATGTATTTTATTATCTGTAGAGGAAATACTGTGCTACTGGAAACTGTTAATTACCACGTAGCCTCAAAAGGGCATGGCTCTGACTGCCTGAAAAACGATCAAGTTCAGTCTAAGCTGTTCACAGGAATCAGCAGTGCAGTTACTTCGCGGTTGAAATTTTGAACGCGTAAATAAACGCGGTTATAGAATGAAGACACCAAATTCACCCCAAATGTCTCATATCTATTAAGGACATTATTTGTTTTGAAAAAAATCTATTAAAGGTAGATCTAGAAATAATCGTGACAAACTGTTATTTATTTCAATTTCAAAACTAGCCGACTACAATTATCTGTGACTAAAATATATATTTATTCATTCGTGTTAGTTAATTTGAAGCTAACCTTGGTAACGGAAAATTGCCTCGAGCGATCATTCAAATTGACTTTGAATTATTCTTTAATTTAAAAGCCTAATGATTTGTTTCTGTGTAATATAATATTTCGATCAATATTACTCATATTTTCGCCATGCTGCATAAACGCGACACCAAATTGATTTGCTTTCGCGGGGGCTGTTTCATCTTGATAAACATAATTAAAAACCATTGAATATAAATGTTCACTGATTAAATTTTCTTTAGGAGGATTAAAATCAGATATTGAAATTTTAGCTAACCCTGATAAACGAACTCCTTTTACTAAACACATCACATGAAAAGCACAAAAGCTCGATCACGCAGAGTTTGATTGCCGCGATCAAAAGGTTGTGGTCTCCCCAATCATTCTGTATAAATCAATAAATATATATTTTTCATTTCCGTTTTGAGCCTTTTTACCTGCGGCAAAACCACTAGTTATTCGTGGAATGGCTAACGGTGTCAACAATGTACGTATTTAAGTAAATATTTGATCTGTCGGTGCTTTCGACGTGAATTCGATAAATACAGCCGTCGAAAATACTTCCATACCTTAAGCAAACGATCTAAGTCGGCAAACGTTCCTGCTTTACATTGCACTGATTCCCGAGTCAAAGCTTTCTGTCGCCTCCGAATCGTTCAGGATGTCATCTCCATCGACCCTTGTCATGTTTTTAATCCTTTGCCGAAGAGCTATGAGCTGACGTGCTAGATTTTTGTCTTGTAATTGTAGTTCTTGAAGTTCCTTACGTACCCATGTAATAGCGTTCTGTAGATCTTCTTGTCTTTCGGCTATGGTTGCTCCCTCGCGCTGTATTACGGGAGCTTTGTTGCCCCTTTCACTGACCATTTTTTCTCCATTGACCGCGCTGTCATTAAAATACTCCCTCGTTTCTGGCTCGTCGGTAAAATTAACACGGCGTTGTTGTTCGAGTTTCGCATCATCAGTTTCATTCGATCTGTTCATCTTAAAGATGGGTTATACGAAGAGATAAGTCTTTGGAATAGTTTCTCGGTGACCTGTCGAATATTGCTCATCAAATGATTCTTTTTCGAGTAGGTTGTGAAATGTTCGCTTTTGACTGGGGTCTACTATCACTTCCTGCGAGAGTCACGAACTCGTGTGATTTATGACTTCGGCATGTTTTGATTCTTTGCAAATGTAAATATTAACCGCTATCAGAGGCCTCTATTATTTCCTGCCAATCACATCGTCGGAATGTTGTTTGCGTGCGCATTTTAAATAAAGTTCTTCGTCACGAAAAAGTTTAATGTCTCGTGCTCCATTCTTTTCTTTCAATCGCATTTGCTGATATTCTTCACATATAACAAGTGAAACACAGAAAAAAGAATAATTGGGACTTAATTATAAGTCTAGTTTGTCGCAGCCATGTTGGTTAGCGGTCATTAAAATGGAGTGTGCGCAGCAATACCTGAAAATGAACATGGCGGACGGAGGCTAAATCTTCCGATCTTTATCTAAGTAAACTCGTGTATCCATTTGCAGTGCGTTAGCTGCCCTGGTCTAGGAAAAAATGAAGTAATTTATTTTAATGTGTATTTTCTTAAATCAGCTGATTTTTTTAAAAAAAGGAATCAGCTGTTTTTTTGCATCCTTTTTCTTAGGCTAAACATAGACGGCCTCCTGGTGTACTTTCCTTACGACTATATCTATCCTGAACATTATTCGTACATGATGGAATTGAAAAGAACTCTTGATGCTAAGGTACGCCATTTCAGATAGCTTTGAGTTTATTTCCAGCATACTGCGCCAGTCACCCCGAATATCTTCGGTGTAGGTTTCACAGTTGTGTGACGTAACCAAACGTAAGATTTTCAGTTCGAAGAATGCATACAGTGATGCGTCGTGCAGCACCTGTATCATGTTTGAGGA